AGAAAATTAGTCGTATGTTATACTAACCACAGCGTATCTCTTGTAAATCAATAAGGAGCACTGTGAAGAGGGGATCTTCAACACCATGGATTTAAAGTACAATAATTAATTCTTTAATGATCATATGTATCCACAGGATCTTACTTTTATTAGATTTGTAACTATATTCATGTTACTCTTTTTATTTTCTTTGGTTTACATTACGTCATGTTTGTAGCTCCAAGATTATGAATTACCCGTCGAGCTCAGTTGGTAGAACGCAAGACTCTTAACCTTGTGGTCGTGGGATTGAGTCCCACGTTGAGCAATTCATAATTCTGACTGCCGGATGTCTTCCACGGAAGCTGCTCTCAACCCGTTAGGGGTAGCCTACTAACTTACCTCCCCCTCACTCCATTACATATGGGAATAGAATCAACTAATTTTTATGCACTATTTTTTTTACCGATAGAAAGGGAACTTTGTTCCTAATTGTATTGAATCCAAAATCTAAAAAAAGAATAGATGTATCAATTGAAAGTTTTTAATCAATTACTCTAAAGATTATTGAAATTTTTAAATACGTTTTATATTTAATTAAAAAAAATTAAGATTCAAATTTACTGGTCGCTCAAGTGATCCAACGTGACTTCTTATACCTAGAATATATTATGAGTTATGTTTAATGTATTTAGTGATCAATATCTTGTAACCTAGAAAAGTGAAACAAATAAGTAAAATGCCCTATTGCCACCCTAAGAACATTCAAATCCCATTCCCATTTTACTCGAATGCCATTCAATTCTTAAATTCTACTCACCATATCCCTTTTCCGCTTCTAATAGGCATAATTATGGAGAGAGAGAAAAGTGTTTTAATCTTTGTATCCTAATCGGTTAACGTATACACATAAGATAAATATTACTATAAGAATTCGAAATTTATAAAGAAGATGATATTCTCTTTAATCACAATTCTATACGAATATCAAATAAGTTATCCTCCGCATCCATAAGAGTAGATAAAGAATGTAAACACATGTTTGGTTCAATTTTTAATTTTTAATATTTGTATCATTAGAACTAAATAAAATAATTATAATTAATATATATTAACTTTTGTATTAATTAACAATTTATGTGTACGAGCCTAAACTAGTGGATTTAATTTCTTTCGATCCTAACAATTTTTGCATTAAGATATGACAGACTCTTTCCATTTTCAAAAGTTCTCTTATTTTTTATTTTGTTTTGGAACCTAAGAATTTTCAAGAACAAAATTATGTTTCAAACATTTTTAAAGAACCCTAGATTGTATTAGAATATTTAATTTTAAATTTCAAAATTTGAAAATTAAAATAAAACTGAGAAAAAACAAAACAAAACAATACTATAAAGAAGGGAAATGTAAAATAAAATGTGTTAAATATTGAGTAGGTTTCAAACATTCTTAAAGAATCGTGGGTTCTCTTAAAATATTTAATTTTAAATCTCAAAAATTGAAAATTAAATAAGTGTAAAGTACATAAATTTTCCCTGAACTTTTAGGGCACTTGCATTTTGGTCACCCAACTTTAAAACTTGCAACACAGTCAGTGAACTTTTAGTTCGTTTCCAATGCGGTCCTAATGTTACCTCCTATTAGTTTTATCTAATGTGTCACTTCCTCCTCCTCCTCCTCCATAGATACAGAATAATTCCATACCTATTGGAAATCTGGATGGGGATGACTGGGTTACTATTTTAGGGTATGCTCCATGCTTTCTAGACGGCTTCTAAATTCTAATGATTTATAAATTTTTAAGGGTTAAGTTGTTGTTTATGTTTGGGTCCTCAGAAAATAACGGGTTGGTAAGAAAAGGTGATGTAGTTTTTTATATTTAGTTTTGTATTTATCTGAGAAAATAGAAAGTTAAAGGCAGCTAACTAGAATACCATGAATGGTATGTATGTCATTGTTTTCAGTAATACTTGAGAAAAATCTATCTGTTTGTCTTGCTGCACCAATCATGTTTAGAACTTATGTTAATGTATTTCCCCTTTGAAAGCAATAAGGGTGAAAGCCTCTGAAATTTCTCAATGTTTTCTTCATAATGTTTGTTGGTGTGAATGCCTGTTTCGATGGGCTTTTGACGCAATTGCATCAACTTTGTTTTGTTGAAACCTTTTTCTCCTTCGGAAATATATTTTCATGTTTATCCAGCCACTACAACTTTTCCCTTGGTGGTGTTTAGGAAAATGTCTAATTCAATCCAACATTTATCGATCATCAACTTGGTTTATTGACCTAACTAGTTGAGCTTTGGATTTTTCCATGGTTAACTCATAAATCCCTTTCAGGGTTTCCTTTTCCTCCTTTTGGACAAAGGAAAAAAAGCAGCTTTGCTTGATGGCCTCATATTTTGACTGTTAAAATGCAGTATGGAATTATTTGGAGGAGGAGGAGGAGGGTTAACAAAAGATAATGTGTTAGTCAGATAACTAAAGGAGGTAAAATCAAGGACCGTACTGAAAACGAATTAAAAATTCAATGACTGTATTACAAGTTTTAAATGTTAAATAAACAAAATATAAATGCCCTAAAAGTTTAGAAACTATTTATGTACTTTACTTTTAAAATAAAAATGCGAAGATAAATAAAATAATACTCTGAAGAAGGGAAATGTAAAATAAAATGTGTTAAATATTGATACGAAAATAAGGTCGGTAGTTCGAATCTTGACGATTACGAATAGAGCGAACTGGGTTGGGAGGATCACTCTTGCCTCTACAATACCTAATCTGGATTAATCGATCAATAGATCAGATACCAGTGTTTATAAAAAAAATAGTTATATGATAAATAGCTAAACAATAATAAGTATAAATGAAAACATAAAATCAAAGGGTAAACTATTTGAATGACCACCTTACCATGGGATTAGTATCAAAATAACCACCATTTTTAAAATTTCATCAATATGATCACTTAACTAATTAATTGAATTTAATATAGCTATTTGCTTTTAATATTTGACAGAAGAATTGCCGTGGTAGTTAATAAAATTAATATAGTTATATTGTTGATCCTTAATGCTTACATATTTTATCCATTTAGTCCTAATTGTAATTTAATTAAAAAAATTAATTTTAATTAAATAAATATTTTTGTCAATCATGTGATGAGACATGCAACCACCTTTTTAAAAGATAAAGCAAGCGTACGGAGAAATTAATCTTGAAACTTAGGATTATGGTTGGGCACGCCTCAACCACCGAGGAAAATGCAATGTTTGTTATTAGTTTGTCAACATTGTTATATATCTTGTTTTAAATTATACATAAAAGAAAAGAAATAATAATATTATAATGAATAAATTATCTGATAAACTACTTGAATGACCATCTGAATACTATTTTAATAAATAGATAATTAATTAATGCAAGGTTTAAACATAAAATAAGTTTAAAAAATTTATATTTTTAAAATTAAATTAAATTTTCTTTTTTATAATTATTTTTAAATAAATTTAAATTATATATTATTTTTTACAATGTTTGTTATTCATTTATCATTTAAAAATTATTATAGAATAAAAATAATTTAATTTATTTATTATAATTTTTGAATCATTTCAAAAATAATTGTAAAAAGATAATTTATTTATTAAAATTTATTAATTATTTAAAAATAATTGTAAAGAATTATTTCAGTTATATATATATATGAAATATAATTTATTTATTAGAATTTTATTATCTTTTAGTATAATTTAAAACAAAATATATAATTTTTTTGAGAAATTAATAATAAACTTTGAGTTTGTCTTAGCGGTTGAAGCTTACCCACCCTTGATCCTAGGCCCTGTGATTGATTCTTCCAAGCAATAGTATTTCACTTATGACACGTGTTACTATTAAAAATGTCTTAATAGCCGGTTGCATGTGGCACCTTTTAGTTTAGAGGGTTTGAGTTACGAAAACTTTTGGATAAGTATCCTACAACTTAACTGATTTCTTTCTGTATCCTCGTATGGTTTTACTTTTGGAGGCATCATTTTTCGAGAAATACAAGACATTTAAGTCATACAAATATAATTTTTTGAATTAACTTAAAATTAAGATTAAATTGATAAAATATGTAAGTATTGAGGACCAATTAAATAATTATATAAATTTTATTAATTGTTATGTCAACGAAAGGTGACTATATTAAACCTAATTAATTAGTTAAATAATCATATTAATGAAACTTTGAATATGATGATTATTTCAACACCAACCCTATAATTAGGTGATCATTCAAGTAGTTTATTAAAAACGTATTAAGTGAAACTAAATAAGAATTGATCTTATTAAGTTTAAAAATGATATAGAGAAATATTTATATTTATTGAATTATTTGAATGTATAAATTAAATTAAAATTTTAAATAATTGTTTGTGAATAAAATATTTATTATTATTATTATATGAATTTAATTTAAATATTATTATATTTGAAATATTTGAATATATAAAAAATAAATTTGAAATAATAAATTATATATTAAATATTTAAATTTATTAAAAATTGGATAATCAAAATTTAAACTAGAATATATATATATATATATTTGAATAACATAAGGTAATTATAATGTATTTATGAATAATTAATAATGTATATATATATCTTATAAATATAATTATTCAAATATAAAATCATTAAAAATAATAATATTTTATTTTACGAATGAAGTGATTTGATGAATTTTGAAATATACCTTTTTAACGCCTTGTTCCTTGAGATGGTTGAATTTATGGCTTAATGATATATTCGGCCTTGAATAAAAGAAAAAATAATTATTTATGCTATACAACAGAATAAATAAATATATAACCCAATGCAGTTGAAAGGAAAATAAGTTATAAAAACGATACAAAACAGTAATTTTCTCGAAGAAAAATCTTCCTTTTCGAAGTACTTTTTCCTTTTAACTTTCTAGGGAAAAAAATATTCCTATATATTAAAAGAATGTGTGAGGATTAAAAGCCTAGGGAAGAGCGAGTAGAAAAGTTGCCAGGCAAGAGAAACAATCAGAATAATCAGCTAAATAATAAAAAAATGAGCATTATTCTACCAATGAAGCTGCTATTGCCTTCAACAACTCCTACTAGATTTCCATCTCCTTTTCTCTCTTCTGCAAACCCTAATTTTAGTTTCTCCTCTTTGTGTACTTTCAGAAGAAACCCACATTTTCTCTCCAGGAAAAAGGTATTCTCAACCAAGTTTTTTTCTCTCTTTTCAATCTCTTCCTTTTTGTTTTCTTTTTTTAATGGGAATATCAACTTGTTTTTGGATTTGGGGTTTTCAGTTTTCTGCTTGGTTTTTTCTTGAATTTGTTATATGATGAAGTGGTTGAATTATGAATCTGTGTAGTCATATATGTAATTTCTGATATTTAGGGAAATTAATCTAAATATTTGTTTTGGACTGTTTATTCCTCAAAAAGTTTTTGGAAATGCCGGGAATGTAGCATTATCTTTATGAGGATACCTGTATGTTCGTGTGAGAACAACGAAGTGATTACCACTTAGGTTATATATATATATATATATATATATATATATATATATATATATCTGAAACCTGAACAGCAGTTGTGAATGAATGCGGTTTGCCTTAGATCTCTGTTTCTGATGTAGATATAGTTGTAGTGTTGGATGAATGTGATTTGACTTAGATCTCTATTTAGATATATTGCGTCGCTTACACCTTTGATCCATGTTTATATATGAAAAAGATATTAATATGGTGATTTTGTAGCTTTAAATTATTTTAAATCAAAAGGGGAAAAAATTAATATTAGAGACAAAATCGATTTCACTTCTGGTGATGATTAATAATATCCGTTTCTTTCCCAATATGGGGTGGTCAGTTTCGGTTGGAGAGCAGGAGAAATTGCACCTCAAACAAAATAGAAACTTGGCGGAAGGGGTCATCGGATTTATAATTACGTTCTTCTATTGGTTCTATTGGTTTATATCATCTTTATTTCCATTCCACTCCAAATGTTTTATTTGCTATTGGAAGGTAATGCCTATAGGTTGTTTATAATGTGGAGTATCTTAATGTTAGGAAGATAAATATTGAAAACGACAACAATGAAATGTATTCTTTCTTTGAAAAAAAGAGAGAATGCTTTCTGTCACCAATTATGTGGTTGATTACTGGCAGCATTATTTCTTATCTGGTTATTGCCTTTGAACTCCGAAATATTAATAGAAAGCCATTTAATTGGTTCTCTAAATTTGTAAAATTGGCATCTAATTAATCAATTTTCTTGTATCCGTTCATAAGTATTATCGGGTGACTTTAATCTAACCCACATCCCATTCTTTTTGGACAAATTTTCATATTAAGTTTATGATAACAGATATTCAATTCCAATTGTTGAATCTGTTTAAATTGTATGATCTGGCATGTGTAGATGCATCTCTTTCTACTCTTATATTTTGATTGAAGGATACTCAATTTTCAACATGTCTGAAAATTATTTTCTGAGGTCTTGGTTGATCACCACTCATGGTGGGCAGTTAGTTTTCACTAATGAGTTACTGTCAGGAATTCTGTTTTTATTTACTGGTTTAGTGGCTCTGTGGACATACAAGAAGAGAGCAAGAGGTGGATGACTATAGATTTGATGAGGACAATGCGGTTTGCTTATTTGGTTCTGATGAAGATACTGGGACACAAATTCCAACACAAGCCCAATCTGTTGTGGAGGGATCGAGGGAAGTTATGGTTTCGGAGCTGAAACCGGTTCCTGATGTAGATTATTTGCAGGTATTTGATTTTTATATAGGACAATACCACTTAAGTTCATTGTTTTTGATTTTTGCAAATGCCATTAAAAAACTGAGCCTGTACTATGGATTTTTACAAATGTCTTTTCCTGTGTATCTTTCTTAGAGCCTTGTTTTATGATATACATACAGCACTGCAAGAACTTTTGGTAGCTTGTGAAATGAAGGCTTGGGAACACCACAATTTCTTAACTTAATGTCTCGGTTTAATTACTAAATGAGCAAAGGATCTTCGGCCATCTAATATTGACCTGTAATCATAAATGATATGTAATTCATGTCTTAGCCAAGTCTTCATTGCAGCTTGAAAATATTTACTGATTTTTAGTATTTTGGAATTTGTTTTGACTGCTAACTTTCTACATGTTGTCGTATATTTTGCAGGAGTTATTAGCAATTCAGCAGCAAGGGCCTAGAGCTATTGGTTTTTTTGGAACTCGGAATATGGGATTCATGCACCAAGAGCTTATTGAGATTCTTAGCTATGCATTAGTTATAACTGTGAGTTCCATGTTTCTAGTTTTTAGTTATCCTTCTATACGTGGCACAACAATATGAATACTAGCCACAATGTTTCGAGTCCGTCTTTTTTCTCAGAAAATATATACTTCTCATAAAATTGTTTGACCATGCTGCTAACATGGCTTGCAGAAAAACCATATTTATACATCAGGTGCGTCAGGTACTAATGCAGCTGTCATCAGAGGTGCTTTAAGAGCAGAGAAACCAGAGTTGCTTACTGTAATTTTGCCACAGAGCTTGAAGAAACAACCACCTGAGAGTCGGGAATTATTGGAAAAGGTATGTATGTGATAATAGCATTTAATTCATTCTTAGGAAACTTGTCTGTGCTATTGGTTTGTTATGGCTTCATCCGACACAATTAATTTCTTTTGTTTTGTTAGATTTGTTTGTTTAATGAGTAAACATGTTGCCTTTTATATCCATGGAAGTAGATTCTATTGAAAATTCGTGACCAGTTTCTTGTAACCTGAGAGGCCGTGTTGTTGAACCTCTACCTATTTTTTATTAAGTTCTTCTGTTGAGTACTGATGCAATGCTACTGGTCAATCACTGGAAGATATAAATCGAGTTGCTGTTGGTGTCATTTGAAAACAGTCTTATACGTAGGCTTTAATTATTTCACTAACAATGTAGAACGTGGCTTATGGCCACAATTCGTTTCAGTTGTGTAGTCTGACTGTTGATCTCCAGTCCTAGGCTTGCAGTAACTTAAGTGATGAAACTGTTTTTGTAACACCCCCAACTCGTATACGAATCCTAGGTGTCACATTAACTTTTCAAAACTTGTACTCTTTAAAAGTCATATAAAATTCAAACTCTTAATTGTATTTGAGTGGTGAAACCCTTATAACAAAATTTCTATTAAAAATTCATAATGAAAATAAAACATTCGATAATTTACATAAATATAGAGGTGTATGATTACAAAACGGATCAGAGCATTTCAATTTAAAACTTTGTAATACATGCCAACAATTTACAAAATAACAAGAAACCTACAGATTAAATTTGTTCTGATATGATCTTCTGCAGTAGTATGTTGTCCTCTCCTAGCTTTAGTCCTCAGATTTCTTTGAACCTACGTGTGAAACAATCACACGCTTAGTCGTTGACTTATTGAGGCAAGTACGAGTATAATAAAACATTGTAAAATATTTTCTTATTCATCTCATAGAAAACATTTCATAAGGAATTCAATTTACATTTCATAACAAGAATATATACTTTTACACATTGTTCGGTTTATATCACTTTGTTTTTAATAGCCCAATGCATACTATTGAGAACTCTAGGTGTTTGAGTACATTGAGATTGTGCACTAATGCAGTCACCACTGCTCACATAATTTGAACCGATGTGCCACATATTTGTCCCGAAGGACCAAATAGAACCCTCAACTCTTGGCATGCCAACTATACCTCTAATTCTCATACATATACCTTGGGCTTTAACCACATAATTATTTCTCATTTCATTATTCAAAGTGTCTTATTATCATAGAGTACATTCACATATAGATCACTTTCACGTATATCACTTTTGCTTAGCACATAGATTATTTTCATATAGAACATAATCATATACATATAGAATAAAAACAATACTTTGAAAAATACACTTTATCTAAAGAATAATAAAAATAATTGCATAAAATAAATAAACTGTTTTCGATCAAAAACTTTGAGGTTGGCTTATCGCAAGCCGTCCTCATCTCTAATATAAAACAAACGAGTTGCACTTACCTTTGCCCCACGTAAGTCCTAAATGGAATCCTTTTCCTTTCGATCAATCTCGTACTATATCAATTCTTTCGAGACTCTTTCGATCCAAATCTACATATCAATATGTCCAAGATCAATAACGAATTTTCATTAATGGTTCATCAGTTAGCAATTACATAAACGAAACAACAACTCTTAATTTAAATTTCAGACTAAATAGTATCGGTACCCCCCACAGTTCCGAAACTTCTCTTCTATGGTACCGATACCCACTTCAGTGTCGATACCATTTTAGCATTTTGGAATTCCATTTTCGATTACGGTATCGATACCTTCCTCTTGGTATCGATACCTCCACATCAGTATCGATACTCTTCAATCAGTATCGATACTGATCATCCGATTCATCCCTTTTCCAGCAAATTACTCTTATAGTATCGGTACTGTTCTTCCAGTACCGATACCCTTACCCAGAATTCATATTTTTCACTTCGAATTTTTTCAAAATTTCACCTAAATCTCATACTTTTAACTCCAAATAAACCCTTAAACTCTTTAGCACTTATACCACACAACTTATGTCCATTAATCCTCTTATAACATCTAAATTTTTCCATAGAACACTTAGAACTAAAAATCACACCAAATATTCAAACATGTTCTTAATCCTTTCTAATACTTCTAACTTTTTAATTAAACACAAGTCAATTATGTCATTAGAAATCCAAATACTACTCAATCTTATCAAATCCCTTAACGACCCATTTTACTAATCCATTAATAATTCTTTAATCTCTTAGTTTTATTCAACCTTGAGCTTCTATATCACTCAATGCCTCAAAACCAACCCAAAAATGAAAAGAATGACCAACTTGAAACATAACTCACCTTATCAATGGTGTCACGGGAAGAGGAGGAGAAGAAGAGAAGAAAACCAAGCTTCCAGATATTTATTTCTTATCTCTATTTCCCACATGCCTTAAATCCTTTAAAATGAATTTTAAATTCATTTCCTATAAAAAGACCATAATGCCCTTCCACTCTTCCATCTTTGCTAATAAGTCCTAAACAAAATTTACAAAATTAGTCTTTAAACTTTTCAATTTATCAAATTTAACCACTATACTTTGAATCCTTACATTTCAGTCACCGACCCTATGATTGGGGGTATTACAGCTTTTGCATTAAAGCACTCTGTAACTTACGTGTCATTGAAGTTTTATTCAAAAAGTTAATTTTTGTCTTGTCTTAGGTGATGGGTCATAAATGCAACAGAAAATTTTAAGTTTTTATATAGCTCGGTTTTTATTGCTTTATGGAAGATTGTGGCCACCATGGTCCAAGCCCTGGAAGTTACTTGTTGTAATGAAGAATTTCAATGCCTTTTGTGGAGTTAGATCATTGAACATTATTAAGTGGATGTTTTAAACTTGCTTTACTGAAAATCTCAAACGAATTGTAAATGTGAAACTGAGTGCATATTTCTGTTTGGGGTGATTTAACATTTAATTCTCAAATTTTCAGGTCAAAACTGTTATAGAGAAGCCTTATAATGATCATCTACCTCTTATAGAAGCCAGCAGGTTTGTCATAACTCTGTAATCTTCTGATCATACTTTCAGCACACCAAATGGAATTGGTCATTGGTTTTAGGTTTCAAGCTAATAATAATGGGATTGTGATAAGATCTTTGTGGAAGCCAATAGGCAGTTAATTCCCGATATGCTTATTACATGATTGCATGATAAGGTGATTGCTAAGCAGTTCTGACAACCACTTTTCATTCACTTAATTGAGCTAGTCACCTTTGGTAAGCATTGGACAAGTAGAGGAAACCCATAATTCTGTTATTCTATCTTCAGTTTATGTAATTCCCAAGATGCTTATTACATGATTGCATGATAAGGTGATTGCTAAGCAGTTCTGACAACCACTTTTCATTCACTTAATTGAGCTAGTCACCTTTGTTAAGCATTGGACAAGTAGAGGAAACCCATAATTCTGTTATTCTATCTTCAGTTTACGTGATACAGTTATCTTCGTCAAGTTGGTCACCAATCATTTTGACTTCGGTTAAGTTAGCTTAGTCCCCTTTTCAGTTTGATTTTACCCTAGTTACTCACTATTCAGTTTAACTTAGGTCAAGCCTGTATATGAGGAAAGCCGAGATATTTTTAAGCTGCTGAATATGAAAAAGTGGATGATTTGGTGCTAGCTTGTGCTAAATTATTATAGATGGGTCAGCTTTTTTTTTTTTTTTGGATGGGTCATAAATTGCCATTATACGCCCAGTTTGGTGCCATAGGATGAAGGAATAGAGAATTACGGATGAGAGAAATGAGGCAACTGTATATAATTTGGATGGAAAAGAGGGAAGAGAAACAGGGGAATATAAGAGACGGATAGAGAAACGATTATCTGTAATTTGGTAGAGGTCCAGAGATGTACCAGTAATATTCGATTCATCACCATAAGCTGTGTAAACTAAAAATAGCTGAGATATCACCCTCCTTTTCCTTGTACTTAGCAAACAGGTAAGACTATACATGTAACCTAACTTAATCATATAAAACCACAACCTTTAACACAGTGCAAGATAATGAAGTAAATCCATCAGTGATGGAGTTGCAAAATTTATTCAGTAACTTGCTTGAAGACTATCTAGCTATCACATGCATAGCCTTTTATTGAGCTCATCATTTTGCATGTTATCTGGTGAAGCCATCCATCTATGGTATACCTTAGTTTCTTGCAAGTGGGAATCTTTGTGATTAGTAGACGAAAATTCATCTTACGTGCTATCGGTCTATGGTCAAATTTGCAGGCTTTGTAATAGGGACATCATTTCACATGTACAGCAAGTCATTTGCTTTGCCTTCCATGACAGCAAGTTGCTGATGGAAACATGCCTAGAAGCCAAGAATCTCCGGAAAATTGTGACTCTCTTTTACCTGGACTGAAACAATGCCTTCAAATGTCCATATAAATTGCTTAGAGAGTGATCTTTTGCCTGTAAATTATACAAATTGGAATGGGGGCTGGTTTGCTGCTCCTTTCATTGCAAGTCAAGTGGATTCTTATTGATTCATTGAATATTGGAAGGAAATAAGTTTTATATGCATTTTTTTGTGTGCATTAATTGTAAAAAGTTGAATCTTTGAAAACTTAGGCATCCCGTAAAGTCTCCGTTATGATCCATACATGGTGATTAAATCATTTTCGTGAAATTAACCTCGAAATCCAGTTTGATCAAATCTGTGTTTGCTAAGAATTCTTTAACCCTATGTAAGAGTTATCTTTGATCGCCATATTATCGTTCGGGTCTAGGGATGTAAATGAGATGAGATAGATCGTAAGCTATTCGAGTTCAACTCGGCCAAAGCTTGACCAACACTTAAATCGAATGGACTCAAGCTTGAACTTGAGTTCTTAACGAGTTGAACCTTACTCGAAAACCTTGTGAGTTACTTTAAATTTTTTAAAATCTAGTCGAGTTCAAAAATACTCGAGTATAAATTAATATTTTATTGATAATAAGCGAGGAGGGAAGATGAAAGATTATTTTAATTGATGATAAGATAATATGAATTAATAATATGTTATTTATTTAATTGAGGGTAAAATATATCAGATACCACCAAACTTTAGGTGTTGTATTGTTTATACCACTAAACTTTCAATTTTGTCAATTATAACACCGAACTTTGATTTTTGTTTTAATCATACTACTGAATCGCTAAATCGTTAACAACATGATGACGTAGCTAACGACTACTGACGTAGTTGACGACTATCGATGTAGACTCCTCACCGATGTCATTTTGATCCAGTTGTTAGCGATTTAACAGCCCGATGGTATAATCGAAACGAAAATCAAAGTTTAGTGCTATGAACAACTAAAAGTTCAATGGTATAAACAATACAACGCCTAAAGTTCGGTGGTATCTGGTGGAATTTACCCTTTAATTTATCGTATATACTATTATTTTTCATCAATTTTGACTTTATGTTTGAATTTATAATATAATGATGTGATTAACTACTTAAAAAAAATAAGAAACATATACAAATGGGATAGTAAAAAAGTGTTTGATAAATTTATTAACGTTGATAATAATCTTAGAACTATTATTCACTCCATATGATGATTTTAAACAAAATATGAATAAACAAATATGTATAAGGTTGTAAAAATGGGTTATAGTGAGAGAAATTTCTCTCGGTTCTCTTTTGGTTTTGCCAAATGGTATATCCATGGTTTATGTAACACCTCAAAATTGGGTTAAATTGAAGAGTTTTTAAATTTATAAGCCTTGTTGCAAATTCTTTTAAAACCTAGGACCTAGGGTTGTTATTAATCCATAAGTTTAGGGTTAGGTTACCCAGACCCTCTCTTTAATAGTTTCCAACTTTTTTCATTTTGAAAGGAAAGCTCCCCACCACTCTCTCTCCACACACACACACACTCTCCACTGGTTTTTAGTTTTCTTTGATTCATCGCTAATCGTGGGGTGGTGTTTGACACCTTCAACACCATTGTGGTTGTCTCGTTGATTCCGTTCATCCGGTGTCCTTGGACTGTCGCTCGTCGTTGTCATTTGCAACCGGTGAGGTTTGAATAATCGAGTTTCGTTAAAACCCCATCTCTGTCGATCTTTTCAGACATGATTTTTGACCACAGGAAGAGGCCCTATGCACCACCGTGCACGAGTGGGCTTCGATTTTCCAGTTCAGACACTGAACCGGTTTGATTGAACTAGCTTGACTGAATTGGTTTGACCCTAAGCTGCTCCTATATTGGTTTGATTGAACCATATCGTTGACTGGACTGTTACCCATTTACCATTGACTTTGAATGTAGACTTTACACCGTTGACTTTTTTCAAAGACCCTTATCTTTATGCTTTTTGATGTGTTGAGTATGTTTTCACTATTCGTTTTCCAAATTATGACCCAAAAGCCCTATTTTACGTCATTTATCGTTTAAAGTCTTAATTATGTTAAGAAAAATGTGACATTTTGGACTCCAAATCACGTGTCTCCAAATTGCTCTTTAGTAGACCTCAATCACTCTAGTTTCGCTCAGTTTGATTTTGCACGTTTCTCTCAAGATACGTATAAGTTGTATTTTTGCACATTTCTCTCGAGATATGTATAAGTTGTATTTTGTGACTTTATAATTTATTTCCGTTTAGATTTATGGCATCCATATTCATAAAGAGGTATTATTTTTAGTTCCCCATTCCGTAGGACCAAGTGCGATCGACCATAGGAAGCAAGGCTTAACTGATGTTGATTAGCTACTATAGGTGTGTCTCTTTGACCTATTTGGTACTTTTGATGTGTTATGCTATTATGTTATATGTTATTGTCTAAAAGCATGTTCATAATGTGATTATATTTATATGTGACATTTCTGATTTTTTAATATTGTTGCGTCACTCATAATATGTATATTGATGCATTCTTGATTCTACATGAGATTATATCCCCGTTCTGATTCTGCATGGGATTGTATCTCTATCCTGTTTTTGCATGAGATTATATCACATTTATGTTTCTGCATGGGATCCTCTACGGAGAGCAACATCCCCATCCCTTTTCTATTTTCTGACGAGTTCCTCCTTAGAGGCTAACTTGGGCTCCTCTTTGGAGTGTAACATCCCCATCTTGATTTATGTTTTCTGCTATGGATTCACTTTGAAGACCTCAAGTTCCTCTTAACAGGTAGTATTTTTCGTTATGTTTGTTTATGACGAAAGGTAAGGTTGTGAAAAACTTTGCATGATTTTATGGTAATAAATATCTAATTATACCGTTACTTGATTATTTTATTACATTTATAGCATGCCTTAAATATCTGAATTATTATTTTTATTTAGAAGGCACATTGAGCATTGTAGCTCACTTTGTTCCTCTTTCTATTTTTAAATTATCCATATATATAACCCATTTGGCTATTGGAGTAGTCTCGATTTCATACTGTGTGAGGTTAAATTTTTGCTTTCAAACTCTTTAAATTGTGGCATGAGTTTATTATGATATGGTATTTGGTAAATGTTTTTTTAAATGATTTGTTAAACAAATTTTGATCTGTAAACTATTTATGAGGTTAGTGTGGTTACCCTGAATCAATTGTAACTTTAAAAAATCATGTCACAAGATTTTTAAGTATTTTCTGGAAATATCAAGACTCCGATGCTATTCTAGATAGTTACTACTTTTCTATAATCATAATTCAATACTTGATATATAGCCATAATTCTGGTAAGGATATCTGATGTCATTTGGACACCTTTATTGATTACTTCGGTTGTAAGATCTGAACTCTAGCGACTAAACATTAGTTAATTAATGATCGTAATTTAGTATTCTAGATTTTTTTGAAGTAAATTTAGGTGTAATAAAACAGTAATTAATTCAATTCTGACTAATCTAATAAGATAATATCTTAGGTTAATTATTATGTTTAGGAAGGTATTTCTCGTTTTCAAAGAAATCTTTCAAAAAGTTCACTTGTTTTAATAAGAATATTCTTTTTACAAAAAGTTACAATTTGTTTCGAACCTAAATTTTTTAGTTGTTAGAAAAATCAATAAATGTCTGAGCTAAAACAGTAGAATCAATTCTTGAATTAGAAAAGAACGATATATGTGTTTCTAATTTGCTTTTAGCACTCTTTATACTCCTTGAATAAACTTTATCAGAAATTTTAAATTATTTTTGACTTTCTCTTGTAAAGAAAAATTTTCCATATCTGATTTTTGTGCGTTATGTTCAGTTTTATATGAAAAATTCTGATTGAAATCTCTATGTTTGTTATGAAACTAAGAAATAACTCGTAAGGATCATATATGCTACGTAATTGAATATTTTTCTAAGGTTTTATGAAATCGTGGGTTCTGATAAAATTCTGATTTTGCATGACAATCTTAGAATATAAGTAGACTCCTATAATAGCTCTAGGTATAATCTTGATAAAATTTCCACTCAATCATATTGTGATTCTCTTTGAAACGAATGATTTTAATCAATAATATATATTGTAACCTTTGAGCTAATAAAGATTTATGTAATATTTTACATTTCAAAAAGAAATATTATTTTGGTCTGAACTATTTGATTTCCTTCAAACTCTTTGCAAATTAAATTTTGATATTTGTTAATAGCTTCCTCATTCGGGTTAATGAATATATTATTTGTATCATTATAATCCAGTCTAACTTGGGGAAATATCTCAACACTAGCATACCCCTTTATCTAGAATTGTTAACTATGTATTTGATGTTCATTATTCTAAAACATAAGTATAAGTTTTGAAGTATTCTGAAGGAGACCATATATAAAAATTCTATGTGTATTGGATATATTATGTATGACATTTGTATCACTTTGATCTAGACTATCTCGAGGGAAAAGAGTCAATTTCGAGTATTATTCTAGAAATCGTACATAATTCAATTTGAAAATAGAAGTAACTGTAGACTTTTTCATCGGATTACCTATGACTCTATCCACGTGAGATTCAGTCTATGCTTTATCTATCATCTCGACAAGTTAATTCATTTTATTATGGTTCAAACTAATTATATTTATGATAACTAACTTGATTGTTTACTTCTAAGATTTTTCGTCTTTGTGAGGTTTCCTTATCCATAATTTTTGATTGAGATATGAGATTTATGTCACAATTCTAAAAGACTCTTCTTGAGGCTTTGTATTCGCGAATTAAACATCAATACATCTTATTATCAACAGTTGACGGTATGTTGAAGCGGGTTATTTAGATTCTGAAAGATAGGTTGAAAGGTTGCATTATAATGTTCCGGTTCAGTTTGATAGAATTTTTACTGTTGGCTGAGTGTGCCTATAATCATAGTTACTAGACCAGTATTCAGATGATGCTATTTGAGGCTTCTTATGTTTATATATATTGTATTCTGCTATGTTAATTGAGTTATCTGAAAAGAGGATTATGGGATCCAACCTTTCACAAGCTTTGTTTGACAAAGATATTTTATCGATTCTTTTAGAGGAATTTAAAGAGTGTACTTAGATTTGGCCATAAAGGATGATCGAGTCGAGGTTTATTGGACCTTACCAAATTATGCATTCAGT